AATGTAAGGAAGGTTGCTGTATTCTCTCTGCTTTCACTCTCACAAAATGAAAAGCACACCCAGTGCAAGTTGTCCTTTGATAGATTTTTAATATGATTTTAAAGAGTTTTGTTTGGCCTCATTCTTATTCAATGAGATTAATTCAAAGCACTTATCCCCCGGGTTTAAGTCAATCCATGTAGGCTTTTTGGCCTGGGTGTGTTGTATGGGGGGTTCTGTTTGCATGCTGCTCTGAGAGACTCCTTTCCCACTTCATTAACCCTGAGCTGGGGACAATCCTCCCCCAAGCCAGAGCCCCGGATTTACCAAACTCCACCATTCACATGCAAAGAAACAGCGCCAGTCACAAAGGCAAGGGGGCCGCTGGACTTAATTAGCTGCTGTGCATTTTGCAGAATTAGAATCAGGCCAGCATCCTGTCTTGGAGGATTTAAACACGCTCCCCCCCACCCCCTGGTAGGTGCAGGGTCAGGCCCAAGACTTGCCCTCTTGCAGCCTTTCAGATTCTGGGGGTCATCACTTGGAAATCTTCTCCTTCACCAAGAAAAGCCCTTCCCTAGATCCCTTGGGGGCAGGGGGTGGAGGAAAGGAATTGCCTTGCACCGGGGGTAGTTTCAGGGGCTGGGCCTTCCTTCCCCACAGGCCAAAGAGCAAGAAGAGGCAGGTCTTTACCCTGGTATGTGGCTCCTGGAGCTGGTAAAGTGGGATCCAGGTGGGCTCTATCCTGGCTTGTTAGAGGAGGGCTGGGAGCACCTGGATGCGAGCGGGGCCAGAAGCCAGAGGCTGGCAGTGGGTCCCTTGCAGAGCTGCGAGGAGTGGGGGGTCCCATTCCAGCCTGGCCCACAGGTTGCAGAGGGGACGGGCGGAGGCGTGGGGCCGCTGGGAGGGGAGTTGGGGGGGGCTAAGCCTCGCAGCCCATCTGCCGGCCCCCCGCTCCCAGGCTGTCCCGGTGACCAGCTGCTGGGCTCGCTGGCTGGCTGGCTGGCTGGCTGGCTGCGGCCACACGAGCACCACTTCTCCAGGGTGGAAACAATCCATTTTTCCAAGGTGATCATTGAAGGCACTTGGGCAATTAGACCCTTCACATCATGCACCAGGGTGGGGGACAGGCAGGGGCTTCACCCAGGTCTTTCCCCTGTGTGGGGCTGCGGGCTGGGCCAGGGGCTCTGCTCCTCCACCCCAGCCAGGGCCACGTCGTGCCTGACTCCAGAGTCACACCTCCCCACGGGCCTCTGGAGATCAGGAACCACTTCCCCAGAGCCAGCAGGGGTGCCCAGCCGTGTGTGTCCATGTCCAGCCATGTCTGTGTGTGTCTGTGTGTACGCGTGTCTGTGCCTCTGTGTGTCCAGCCGTGTTTGCATGTGTCTGTGCCTCTGTGTGTGTCGGCGTAGTGCCTGAGTGTGTGTCCAGCCATGTCTGTGTGTCTGTGTGTGTCTGTGTGTACGTATGTCTGTGCCTCTGTGTGTCCAGCCGTGTTTGCATGTGTCTGTGCCTCTGTGTGTGTCGGCGTAGTGCCTGAGTGTGTGTCCAGCCATGTCTGTGTGTCTGTGCCTGTATGTATGTATGTCTGTCTGTGTGTGTGTGTGTGTGTGTGTGTGTGTGTGTCCAGCCTTTCCCTCCCCTCCAGCCCCGTGGCCCTGGCCGGGGGCCTCCCCAAGCCCCCTGAGCGGCTGGAAGCAGCGAGCCGGGGTGTTTGCAAAGAAGTTTTATTTCCACATTTATAAAAGGAAGGGCCCGAGCCGAGCGGGGCCGCGGCCGGGAGTGCGGAGGCCCCGGGGTACAGACCGACAAGAAGCACTGACACAAATACGCCCTCGGGGGTCACAAATAAATAATTCAGATGCACTTTGCACGCGGTATTTACAGTCCGGGCCGGGGATCTCCGGGGGGGGAGGGCGAGGGGATCCCATGAGTTTCCTTAGGGATCGCATGAGCTAAGAGATCAGGGGGTGGCAGAAGGGGGTCGGGGGCAACCACTGGCTCCGCAGGCCCCGGTTGCTTTGGGAGCGACCTCGCTTCCAGCGGCAACTCCAGCCGGAGCGGGGCCGCCCCCCGGCC